TTTCCCTTTTTGGTACGTCATTTCAATTTTAATTGGTTAAATGCTTAATTTGGTCCCTTAACTTTAAGAAATGAACATTTTTGGTCCCTCAACAATTTTTTGCACTTTTTTGATCCCTCAACTATACGAAATGCACTCCGTTAGTCTTTCTGTTAATTTGGGCCGTTAACCTTGCTTAGGTGGTATTTTTTATTTTTTATTTTTGATGATGTGGAGAGCAAAACTTAAAAAAGTGAAAGAGGAAGGAAGAAGATGAACGAATTATTTTATTTTATTTTTTAAAAATATAAATAGGAATAATGTGAGTTGGCATAAAAAAAATTTCACGTTTTCAATTTGTTTTTGCCACGTCATCAAAAAAATTATAAAAAATGTCACATAAGCGAGTTAACGATCGAAATTAACAGAAGGACTAACGGAGTGCATTTCGTATGGTTGAGGGATCAGAAAAGTGTAAAAAATTGTTAAGGGACCAAAAATGTGCAACTCACTAAAGTTGAGGGACCAAATTTAGCATTTAACCATTTTAATTTAGTCCCCTTTCCATTGCTGGGTGCTGATAGTCATTGCTCAATGGGGAAATATTACCACATATGACAAGTTGGTATTGGAATTAAGACTCCACAAATAAGCATTGACCTTCTTATCTTCTATCCTACTTTACCAACGTCGAAAGGCTTATACAAGTTTAAATTGACTCTTAAGATCTAAACTAGCGTTATTTATGAAGATGAACGGTTCAGAGATCAATTTAGGTCTGGCATGGGTCCTTCCCACAATTCAGCAAGCTCCTTATCCAAAAGATGAAAACAACAGGTTCCAGTGTAGAAAAGCATCTGCATGTAAAAGACTCAGCAGAACTGGAATAGATACACTTTAGATAAAAAAAACGAAAAGAATAAGAAGGAATGCATACCTATATAAAGGGAACGAAGGATGATACTTGAACAATTGACCAGATCATATTTGCAAGGAAGAATTCATAAAATCAAGATTCAACTAATAACTTTAAAAACAAAAACAGTTTTTTAATATGTATTTATCAGCTGGATTTCTAAAAATATTAGGAGGAAAAACACTGTAAAATTTTTTCATTTCAATAAAGTACTATGGAAAAAAAACTAAAGCAATCTTATATGTCTAAAAATGTTATTTTAGTATTTTTTTTAATGAAAATTTATTAAATAATGTAGTTTTTGGGTGTTTTTTCTCCTAATTTTTTAGAGGTTTGGGTTAATAATAGTCCTAAAATTTTTCCTTTTGGAGGATTTGCCTAAAACTCCTATTGAATTAGTGTTTTGAAAACCCAGCCATTGGATTAAATATTTTATTCATGTAAATCATACATATAAAATTTCAAATTAATCTAATATTTATAACTTTTTGATCATAAAACTCTATTTATTGATACATATATATTTAATAGTGTTAAATTTTGTATAATCAATTAACTGATTCTGCCTACTAGAGCAAGATAAAAAATAAAAGGCATAATACATGTGAATGAAACTTCCTATCCAACAGTTTTATTTTAAAAATATTAATTAAAAATTTTTTTTTAGAGATTTACAAAATACTTTCTATATATATATATTCCTCGTATGTATATATGGTTCGTCTAATCTATATATTAAGGGTACAAGTTAAAAAAATGTTAATTATATCTTTTTATAATTAATTTATATAAAAAAATAAAAGTTGACTTTAAATTTATCAACTATCCAATTAAAATCATTCAAGTGATATTGATATTAAAAAATCTTTTACTTTTACATTTTTTAATAAAATTTTATTATAATAAAAATTTATTACAAAATAATGCACTTTAAGGGCACATGTTAGATAAATCATATATATATATGAGAATGATATATATTAGTTCGAATCCTAATAGAAAATTGGAGTTTCAATTTTAAAAACATTCATTAGAGTAATTTCAAAAATGCCACTCTAATGAATGTTTTTAAAATCAATTAATAGTACTTTATTCATATAAATTATATCATACATGCCAACTTTTAAAAGAGAATAGGACATATCAATCTCAACCTTCATTGAAAAGTACCATTCTGTAATAAATATTTTTAAAAACTAACCATTGGATTTTATTTTAATATATATAATAAGCCAATTTTTAAGTTAATTTAATATTTATAACAATTCAATTAAGAAACTTGTATGTTCTAACACATATTTAATGGTATCAAATTTTGTATAATCATGAATAATAAACATATTTTATCAATCTAAAAATTTATATATATAATCTATATCAATAACATATTAATCCAATGGTTAAACCTCCAATTTGGTCCCTCAATTATTGTACAGATCTCGATTTAGTCCCTAAACTCCTAATTTGATCCCTACTATTTATCAATTTAACTCTAAGTTGGTCTTTTTTGTTAAAAAATAGCTGCTATGTTTGTTACTTAATGACAAAAAGTTATTATTTAATGGTCATGTGTCAAGTTAATAATAAGACATGTCATTTGTTTTTGTATAGAAAGACCAACTTGTGGTTAAATTGGGAAACAATATGGACTAAATTAGGGGTTTTTCTTAGTTCAAGAACCAAGTTGGAGTCCGTACAATAGTTGAGGAACCAAATTAGGGGTTTAACCTAATCCCATTATTCATCCTAAAAATATTATTAGAGTGTAATGTTTCTCAAGTTTTGAGACTTTAATTTTTTAATGAGTCAAGGATGATATATATGTACTATTCAGGTTTTTCTCCATTTTTATTAAACATAGACTCTCATCATAATTAATATTTTCAGAAACCAACTATTTAGTTAATATTCTATTCACCAAGACAATTTTTGAAGAAATGGAGTGGAGATGTGTTTGGGGACATTTAAAAACAGTTGGTAGTAGCTGCATAAGTAAGATTGAACCGGTAGACTTAGGGTGCATTTGGAATTGCAGTTGAGGAATTTTTTCTTGTAGCCGGATAGTGCTTTTACTTAAATGTGTGTTTCGTAATTTTTTTCAAACTACCTTTTTTAAAAGTTATAAAAAGTCATAATAGATTTACAGCAATTATATATATAAAAGTAAAAACCTCATTTTATAGTTTTTTAGCTATGACTTTTACGAATAATACCTAATATTTAATATAATTATAAAACTATTCATTAAAATCAAATCTTCCTTAATTCAATTATATCATAATTTATAATATTTTATTTAAATTTAATTTCTTGTTTATTTGAAAATTTTATAAAAAATTAAAAACTCATTCCCTCCTGTGTATTTTCTCCTATGAAATTTAAAAAAAATACCCATTATAAAAAACTTAAAATAGTATTTTTTAATAAAAATAATTAAATATTAAAATAACTTTCAATTATAATTACAATATAATATAGTTCAACATAGTTATAGTATTTGTTATTAATGTACCCTTAAAAGGGTGAGGAAGAAGAGTTAGCAGAGCAAGACTGCATAATGAGGAAAGAAGGCTTTCAAAGTTATCTTCAAACATAAAAATGAAACGAAAATTGACAGATATGATCACCCAAATATTTCCATTTAAATATAAATACTACAGTATATAATCATCATCAATAATTATAATGTAATAATCAGTTTACATATAGAACTTAACGTGGTAAATTTTTTTTCTTTTTGATGTTCCGAAATTTTACCTCTTAAAGATAAATAAGTAATTATCATTTGATAATTATAAATACGCTGGAAGTAGTTTCCATATCGAACTCAGGTTCTTATACCTGTATATATTCAGACATGGAGACTAACTAATTATATATAGCTTATTCTTAAATTTCATTAGTTCCAAAAGTTTTGGAACAGAATTTTTCTCGCAGAAGAACAAGCCTCCGATATGCAAACTAATTCTGTTCCCACTACAACTCTCAATCACCATACCCCCACCACTCCAATTTCCACCCTCCTCTCCCCAGCTGCTGCCAATAACGGTGGTGGCTTTGATCCACCATCAACGTCCGTCAATGGCTCCTACCCGCCCGGATTGCGATTTCGCCCTACCGACCCTGAGCTCATCCTTCACTACCTTCACAATAAAATACTGAAGGAGCCCTTGCCATGTGACAAGATTCAAGATGTAAAGTTGTATGATCATAATCCCGATACCCTAACAGGTAACTTGATGGTAATTATTTTAGAATCATCATAAAGTATTTTTAGTTTTTCTTTAATGTTCACAAGTGTTTAGCATTAGTTCTCTTTAAATTTTACTTCAAATAAGCGCTACTTCGATTCTTTCTTTCTCTAATATATCTGAATCTTCTCAAACAAACAATTAGAAAAATGATATACACATGTACTAAATTTTTTTAGGCCGTTTAAACTTTGATTAGGGTTTTATATATATTATTTATGTTTAATCATATTTTTAACACTATAAGAAAATAGACATTTTGTGACGATAAATCGGATCACAAAAACTCAAATTTTGGACACAAATTTAATTTATGACTAAAATTATAAATTTTATGACTAATTTTTCATCACAAAATATAAATTTTCTTGTAGTGTAATAAACATAGTTTATGTAATTGATCATAACTTATTTGTAATTCCATGTTATAAATTATTTGTTTTCATACGTTAATTCTGTTAACAATTGTATGTAATCATCTCATTTAGTATTTGTTGTTATGTTTTCTACTTTGATTTCGGAAGTTGAATAGGTTGTTAATTTTGGTTGTTACATATAGGCTTGATTTTGCTGAGATTATATCCTTTTTCCAAAAACGCTTATTGATAAAAATATAAAATATGTCTTTTTTTTTTTTTCCCAATATTTTACACAGAATTGTACAAGGAGTATGGAGAGGATAGCTGTTGGTATTTCTTCACGGCCAGAGACAAGAAGTATCCAAATGGACAAAGGCCAGATCGAGCAACCAAAGATGGAGTTGGATATTGGAAGGCGACGGGCGCTGACAAGAAGATCAAGTTTGAAGGAACCCTAATTGGAAAGAAAAAATCTTTGGTGTTCTGTGAAGGAGATCGCATCAAGAATCAGAAGACTGCTTGGCTCATGCATGAATATGAATTACTCAAAGAAGATTCTTCTAATCAAGCTAGGAATAACACTACTGCTTCTGAAGGTAATGACATGCAGTTGGATCATTCGGTTCTTTGCAAAATATATAAGAAACATGGTAAATCAACCAAACATCATCCTAGGAATGATGCAAGAAATGAGACTGTCTTGAAGGAGGTTGAACAGCATAATGGACAGCAGTCTGATTTTCGGGGACTAGAAAATTTCAATCAGCCGCAGCGACAAGAGGTTAATCATAATCTGTTAGGCTATTCAGATATCCCGTTTTCTGACTTCGGAGAGGAGGTGGAAGCTCACTTTGGTGATCCGGAGGCACAATGTTATAGCCTACAACAGTTACCTGAGTTTTGTGATCAACCTGCTTTTAAGGAAGAGGATTACTACACATTGCCCCCTCCCCCAGAGTCTCTTTCTTTAGTTGATGATCATCGTGGGACCAAAAATTATAGTAGCTCTCGTGAGCAGTTCTCAGACCATGGTGACGGTGCTCCTAAATATTTTGGCTATTAGGGGTGTTCGCTGTGTGGTTTGGTTCGGATTTTAATATTTTTTAAATTAATCCAATTTAAGTGATTATTAAAATTTTTAAACCAATCCAATCTATTATTATATGATAACTAAACTAATTCAACTTAAATCGGATCGGTGTGGTTTAGTCGGATTGATTGGTTTTTATCATTATTAAATATATGAAATAATGTAAAAATATTTTAACATCAAATAGAAAACATAGCTATAAAACACATTAACATCCAAATTAGTAAACACATAATAAAAGATATAAATTATAAATAAGTTTTTATACTCTTTTACATTTGTAAAAATTGAAAAACTTTGAAAATTCTTCTTGGTTACATCACTAGAGGCACTAAGAATAATAAAAGATGACTTCAAATTTTTAGCACAGCGTAAATAATTCTTAAATATTAAAATGAGTTTTTTTTTTCTTAATACACTAATAATTTAAGCACATCTTTTAAATTCTATTAATAGTAAATAAAATTTAATATAAATATCACTAAAATTTATTAGAAGCATTCATAATCAAAATTTAAAACTTTTAAACCAAATATCCAACAATAGTAAAATATCAAGACTAGATTTATTATATTGTTTTAAAACTTTTAGAATAATGCTTTTATAAAACTTAGTTAGAAGAATCATAATATTATTTTAGGAACAAATTAGAAATTCAGGATTCTAAGAGTAAAGGTTCAAATCAATTTTCAAGGGATAGAGTTACAGGT